TAACAAAAAGCTACGGACGCCTCCGAACTACTTCATCATGAATCTTGCAGTGAGTGACTTTCTCATGGCCATCACTCAGTCGCCGATCTTCTTCGTCAACTGCATGTACAAGGAATGGGTGTTCGGAGAAATGGGTAACTAATTTCCCAATCTTCCCACCGAGGGCCCTATTTTAAAGGGGTGGTTGATTATGATTTCACTTTTCTAGCTGTAGTTAGTGTGTAATGTTGCTGTTTGAGCATAAACAACATCTGCAAAGTTACGACGCTCAAAGTTCAAAACAAAGGGAGAGATGTGCTTTTAAAGAAATTGTTTTTACAACAAACCGACATTCCTCCCGGGTTAGTGACATCACCAACCCTAGAATTTACATAAACCCCGCCCCCGGGAACGCGATTTATAGATTATCATGACAGAATATGCTAATCAATGACTATAAGATAACTCCACATAAGCTTCATAAATTCATCAACTAACCATTCTACATGTTGTCACTTCTTCTTGAGTCTCTCCATCATTGTCTGACTTCGGTTTGAACATAAAAGGCTTCAAGTTTTTGAAATTGTCAATGCATGTGTGTGTGAGTGCATTCAGTGCAAGCTCTTGAAGCTCCGCCCCCTGTGCCGGGAGCAGCAGCTCATTTGCATTTAAAGGGACAGACACAAACCCTGTGTGTTTTTGCTCACCCTCAAAAAGAGACAATTTTAACATGCTATATAAAAATATCTGTGGCGTATTTTTGAGCTAAAACTTCACATACACACTCTGGGGACATCAGAGACTTATTTTACATCTTGTGAAAAGGGCATTATACCACGCCTTTAAGGATCTAAGCGTCTACCATTCCCTTTAAAAGCCAGTTGCGCTTGCGCCATGGCGGATTCGCTAGTTACATGGAGGAATTTGCAAGGGGAAAAAAGTGACGCTTCTCCAGAGAGCAAACGAATCTGCTCGTGCTCGAGGTTAAAGCGGAGTGTGTGTGTGTGTGTGAGGTTAAAGCGCAAGCAGACTATCTACAGGACGAGCCAGATTCCACCATATCTTTATGTACTGTACACAATATTCATCTTTTACATTGTAATCCTTTTATATTTAATATTTGACGTTTGTTGGCTGCTGCGCGTCCCTGTGTGTGTAATAAGCAGACTGTGTATGTGTGTGTGTAATAAGCAGAGTGTGCGTGCGTTGTGGACTCGCCTATAAGCTCATATTACTAATGCGCCCTTTAAATAAATGAAAAACACTGCGCCATTGACTTTAGAGCCGGTTCAGTCGGTCAACGGCTCAGTCTATTTCAGGTCCTCTAAACAGCAGCGCTCCAACACTGCGCCTGAACACACACTCGTTCTCAGACCAGCAGCCCACGGCCCACAGATGAGCGCAAATGCATTTGCTATTTAAACAACGAGGCGCAGGACGTGAAAATGAAAACTGCGTCGGGCTGAAACTAGCTAAACACACTTGCGCCGCGCCGGGTGTATGATAGAGCCCCTAGACTTACTCATTTCTCACTTCAGCGCAGTTTCATTCAGAATCCTAGCTTTTTTGTTTGTCAGCTCCATCAATTGCCTCATTTAAGTCTTATTTAAAAACGTATTTATTTTCTTTAGCTTTTGAATAAGTTATGTTTGTTTTGTTGTATGATTTTAATGTCATCATTTTTGTAAAGCACTTTGGGGTAACGTCTGTTGTTTGAAAATGCACTATATATATATATATATATATATATATATATTAGGGCTGTCAAATGATTAATCGCGATTAATCGCATCCAAAATAAAAGTTTGTGTTTACATAATATATGTGGGTGCTCTGTGTATAATTATTTTATATATATAAATACACACACATTCTTGTATATATTTAAGAAATATTTTCATGTATATACTGTATATAGATTTATATATAATTTTTATTATATATAAATATAAATATTTTATATATAAATAATTTTTTTTCTTAAATATACATGCATGTGTGTGTATTTATATATATATACAAAATAATTATACACAGTGCACCCACATATATTATGTAAACACAAACTTTTATTTTGGATGCGATTAATCGCGATTAATCATTTGACAGCCCTAAATATATATATAAAGTTGCTTACTTACTCATTTGCGATCTGTTTCCATGTCACACGTGCTTGTATCTGCTTCTCCACGCACGCAGGCTGTAAGATGTACGCCTTCTGCGGAGCTCTGTTCGGGATCACATCCATGATCAACCTTTTGGCCATTTCCATCGACCGCTACGTCGTGATCACCAAACCCCTGCAGGCCATCGGCTGGACGTCCGGGCGCCGGACGCTGATCATCATCCTCCTGGTCTGGATCTACTCGCTGGCCTGGAGTCTTGCACCTCTAATAGGATGGAGTGAGTCTCACGTATTTTCTCTACCTTTGAAAGAGAAAACAATATGATGAGTGTGGGAGAAAATAATCGATTCTCTGATGCATCGCGATTCTCTCTTCAACGATTCTTGATATTTTGATATCTCTACAATGGGATATTAGCAACATGGTGTCGGCCCAGATCTGGCCCACATCTGGGCCGTGTGGAATCCATGTGTACCGGATGTGGGCCGGATCTGGGCCGACACTATGGCCTCGTTTTTAAGAGCTAAATATAATTCTCCACGAAGGCCGCATTTACACTGCAGGTCTTGATGGCCAATACCGATTTTTTTTTTGGTAACACTTTACAATAAGGTTCATTTATTAAACATTAGTTAATGTATTAACTAACATGAACTAATCATGAGCAATTCATGTGTTACTGTTTTTGTTAATCTTTGTTAACGCTAGTTGATAAAAAAAATACAGCTGTTCATTGTTTATTCATGTTAGTTCACAGTGCATTAACTAATGTTAACAAGATCTTAAAGTATTAGTAAATGTTAATATTAACATTAACAAAGACTAACAAATGCCACTTACATCTTCTTTTAAAAGTGACCCACATCTGATCTGCATTTACACCACACTTGGCGAAACGAACAAAAGATAACATTATGATATCAAGAAATCAATTTCAACATGAGTTTAATTTATTGACATGGAATTCATTGAAACATTTTTAATGCAATAGTTTCATCCTTGTATCAAAATATTTATATAGTACAAATTCTATACACCCATTAATAAAGTTAGTGCGTGGAAGAACTTTTGTTAAGCATGTCAGAGGTTCTGGGTTCGAATAGGTTTCTCCCCTCATTAGCACCACATGTGATCATCAGAGATTTTATATCAAGAACAGGGACATGTTTGTGTGCATTTTATTTTTGTGCTAGCAACTAGCACTCAGGATGATTTCAAAAGCAACACATTTCAGCGCCAGATCGACTCTTATTTAACACCAAAGAACAAACTCAATACTCTGCTAGTCAACTAGAGATGTTTAATTTGTTATAGATATATCTGTACCACGAAATGTTCAAAAAGTCACTTTTTTTAATGACGTACGTACGTCTCGCATTGATGGGAATATCCGATTACAAATGCACGAATCCGATTCATATTTATTTCCATATATGAATGAGGCCTGAAATCAATCTGAGAATATCAGAATCCATGCGTTTTCGTTTTGCAATCATATCCGCTCTGTGTCACATGGGAGGAAAAAATCGAACCATGCAGTGTAAATGCGGCCATTTTGTTGCTATCTGTGAAGTTTCTCCACAATCTTTGACACTGTGTTATAACCGTTCTTGGATAGGTTCGTATATCCCAGAAGGCCTCATGACGTCCTGCACATGGGACTATGTGACGTCCACTCCAGCAAACAAGAGCTACACGTTGATGCTCTGCTGCTTCGTGTTCTTCATCCCTCTTGGCATCATCTCTTACTGCTACTTCTTCATGTTCCTCGCCATTCGTAACGCAAGCAGGTACAACATGCACACACTCTTGCCTATATTGGCATGATGAACATGATTTCACCAAGGAAAACATGTTTCTGGATCGGCATCCTTGTTGATTATGGAAGTAAAATAATGACAAATGTTTTTGAAACCATAAAGCTTGTTGAATTGCACTACTTGAAAAAATATGCATTGCTTTAACCCTGCTTGCATTTTAATGCATTGTATTTTTAGGGCTTGCATTTTTATGGGCTGAAATTCAACATGGTTGAATATTTAAGATGTGAATATTTCAATTCAAAACATTTCACAGACGTTTTCATTATTAAAAATGCAATAATCCATATTCACCTTTCAGATTTCACTTCCAAAATGTTCATTCTGTTTAAAAATACAACCAATATTCGACAGGAAATTATCAGTCCATTTTATTTCGCTTTACAAATTCGCTTCCACAAATTCAGTGGTTCAAATTCGACAGAAAATTCAACATTTGACATCTTGGAATGGCAGGAATACTAGTAGATTACCGATAGATAATCTCCATAGCTGTTAGTCGACCTCACCAGCAGGGGGCGCAAGCGGCTGTTAACGAAGACCAGAGCAACTGAGTTATTCATTCATAAAAACGGATTTACAGAAATGGAGCAAGCGGTCAGTATTTATGATGCTTATCAGGGCCAGTATATACACTCACCTAAAGGTTATTAGGAACACCATACTAATACTGTGTTTGACCCCCTTTCGCCTTCAGAACTGCCTTAATTCTACGTGGCATTGATTCAACAAGGTGCTGAAAGCATTCTTTAGAAATGTTGGCCCATATTGATAGGATAGCATCTTGCAGTTGATGGAGATTTGTGGGATGCACATCCAGGGCACGAAGCTCCCGTTCCACCACATCCCAAAGATGCTCTATTGGGTTGAGATCTGGTGACTGTGGGGGCCATTTTAGTACAGTGAACTCATTGGCATGTTCAAGAAACCAATTTGAAATGATTCGAGCTTTGTGACATGGTGGATTATCCTGCTGGAAGTAGCCATCAGAGGACGGGTACATGGTGGCCATAAAGGGATGGACATGGTCAGAAACAATGCTCAGGTAGGCCGTGGCATTTAAACGATGCCCAATTGGCACTAAGGGGCCTAAAGTGTGCCAAGAAAACATCCCCCACACCATTACACCACCACCACCAGCCTGCACAGTGGTAACAAGGCATGATGGATCCATGTTCTCATTCTGTTTACGCCAAATTCTGACTCTACCATCTGAATGTCTCAACAGAAAACGAGACTCATCAGACCAGGCAACATTTTTCCAGTCTTCAACTGTCCAATTTTGGTGAGCTCTTGCAAATTGTCGCCTCTTTTTCCTATTTGTAGTGGAGATGAGTGTTACCCGGTGGGGTCTTCTGCTGTTGTAGCCCATCCGCCTCAAGGTTGTGTGTGTTGTGGCTTCACAAATGCTTTGCTGCATACCTCGGTTGTAACGAGTGGTTATTTCAGTCAAAGTTGCTCTTCTATCAGCTTGAATCAGTCGGCCCATTCTCCTCAGACCTCTAGCATCAACAAGGCATTTTCGCCCACAGGACTGCCGCATACTGGATGTTTTTCCCTTTTCACGCCAATCTTTGTAAACCCTAGAAATGGTTGTGCGTGAAAATCCCAGTAACTGAGCAGATTGTGAAATACTCAGACCGGCCCGTCTGGCACCAACAACCATGCCATGCTCAAAATTGCTTAAATCACCTTTCTTTCCCATTCTGACATTCAGTTTGGAGTTCAGGAGATTGTCTTGACCAGGACTACACCCCTAAATGCATTGAAGCAACTGCCATGTGATTGGTTGATTAGATAATTGCATTAATGAGAAATTGAACAGGTGTTCCTAATAATCCTTTAGGTGAGTGTATATGGAAAAGCTGATCAACACACAAAAGCTGTGTTTACATTTAAGTCAAAAGCCCTAAAAATACAATGCATTAAAATGCAAACAAGGTTAATTCAATGCATATTTTAGTGCAATTCAACAAGCTTTTTTGTTTCAAAAACATTTGCCATTATTTTACTTCCATAGTTGATCCTGGAACAACATTCCAATCAACCAATCAGTTTTGAGGGACAAGTTTGCCGTTAGGGTGTGTTCACACTTGGCAGGGATTCCTGGCAAAGTTTTGACACCTCTACCTATTTTCTAAGCTCTTTGTGAGTTCTCAACTGGTAAAAATACCATCATATCTGCGCACAAACAATGAGCAAATGTAGCGCACAGAATTGTTTTGGATGTTTGGTAAGTTATGTCGCAAAATAAACGGCAAAAATACAGTTTTTGTATCTTCAAGTTTGGTGTTAAAGGAACACACCGACTTTTTGGGACTTTAGCTTATTCAGCGTATCCCCCAGAGTTAGATAAGTCCACACACACCCTTCTCATCTCCGTGCGTGCCGTAACTCTGTCTGACGCACCGTTACTGTATATTTCAAAACGTCAAATCCAAGACTTCAAGCTCTTTAAGCACCTTATGTACGAATGTTGTACAATGCCATTCTTGTGAAAACTGTGTCCAGAGATTTGGAGAAGCTGGGTAGCCATGTGAGGAAGACCACCCTCATCCAACAGCAGTCCATCAAGACCGAGTGGAAGCTGGCGAAGATCGCGTTCGTGGTCATCATTGTGTTTGTGCTGTCCTGGTCTCCGTACGCCTGCGTCACGCTCATCGCCTGGGCCGGGTAACTACCAGCGGTTATTACAAACAATATCTGGAGTTTTTGTGTCATTAGTTAGGCTGTTTATATCATTATCCAACAGCAAATAAACAATTAAACAACTGCGAATCCATACAGGTGAAACTCGAAAAATTAGAATATGGTGCAAAAGATCATTTATTACAGTAATTCAACTTAAAAGGTGAAACTAATATATTAGATAGATTCTCATTACATGCAAAGTGAGATATTTCAAGCCTTTATTTGTTATAATTGTGATGATTATGGTTCACATCTTATGAAAACCCCAAATTCAAAATTAGAATATGATGATTATGGTTCACAGCTTATGAAAACCCCAAATTCAAAATTAGAATATTGTGAAAAGGTTTTCATAAGCTGTAAGCCATAATCATAAAATTTTTAACAAGTAAAGGCTTGAAATATCTCACTTTGCATGTAATGAGTCTATATAATATATTAGTTTCACCTTTTAAGTTGAATTACTGAAACAAATGAACTTATGCACGATATTCTAATTTTTCGAGTTTCACCAAACATTTGTTAACTTTATCTCCTGTTTAAGATTTTTAGAGTGCAGACCTTTTTTGCATTTTTTAAATTAAATATACATACAAACTTTTTTTTTTTCCTCAGTTTTGCCCTAATCTGTGATGGCCAGTTTCATGCAGAACATCTAATCTCTCAGAGAAGTTTTCTGATTCATGTGTTAGTCTATTAAAGGGAGTCAAACCATGCAGAAGATCTGAGGCTTTCTGAGAATTCCTGGGTAAAAAGACGTCCTTTTATAGAAGAACTGTCCAGGGCGTATAGTGCGAGATGCGAACACTTCTGAGAGAGCAAATGATGAAGTCTGCTGGAGGATAGACATACGACCATGCATGATTCCTTCCGCTCAGCCAACAACACCTCTAGGTCACTAACATGTCACGTAAACACACACTGCAGGGGTCTTCAGCTTTATTCAGGACGCTCTCTGCTTGCTTCTTCACTTGTTTTCCAGTACAAACCCTTAAGGAACAAAAAATAATGGGAATATACTGCAAAATATAATGCGATATATTACATTATATATTTTCATAATATGGGAAACTAGTGCTTATATTTTTCAATGTACTGCAATACTGGTGAAACTCGAAAAATTTGAATATGGTGCAAAAGTTCATTTATTTCAGTAATTCAACTTAAAAGGTGAAACTAATATATTATATAGACTCATTACATGCAAAGTGAGATATTTCAAGCCTTTATTTGTTATAATTTTGATGATTATGGCTCACAGCTTATAAAACCCTCCAAAGTTCAATGTTAGCTGTCAATGGGGTGATAGCCATAATATAGATGTTTCTATTGAAAAAATACACGAAAATATAGAAAGAAAATATTTTTTGCAGTGTATATAAACATTCTTAAATCAAGATACTGTACATGTTTTCTTGTGATATTAAGTCTGAAAAAATATATATAAAAAAGAACTGAATTTATGCCAAAAAAAATGTTTTTCTTCATTAAAAAATATTTTTCTCAAGTCAATGTATAATTTTTTTAATCAAGATACATTTAAGGAACAAGACTATTAAGTCTTGTTTTTTGTTCTCAAAAATTTAGTGAGTTATGCTTAAAACAAACAAACAATGTGGGCAGAAAAATAAACTGAATTTAAAAAAAAAACGAGATAATTTTTCTGACCCCATTTACAGATACGTGTCTCGTTTTAAGCATAACTCACTAAACTTTGATACAATTTAGCCTTTTGCTTTTGCTTAATGTCTTGATTCAAATATTAGTTTAGATATTTGTAACTGAAAACGAGGCAAAAAGACGATCATTTTTTGAAGATCACAAATTCTGACATTAGTAGCATGAATTTCAATGCCATAGTAATGTGCTATTTAATGTGCTTTGCTTGTTTTTCATGTTCCAGGTACAGCCACGTTCTTTCTCCGTATTCAAAGGCAGTTCCTGCAGTGATTGCCAAAGCATCAGCCATTTACAATCCTTTCATCTATGCCATCATACGCTCCAAATACAGGTTCGTTCAAGAGCAAACGCCTCAGCAAACCACACAAAATTGTGCCAAAACATATAACGCAGTGTGTATTTCTGACCCTGATTTACAGAGACACGCTGGCTGAGAAGGTGCCGTGTCTGCATTTTCTAGCCCAGTCGTCACGTAAAGATTGCATTTCGGTGTCGAACAGCGAATCGTCCTTCAGAGAGCCCATGCTCAGCCGACAGTCATCAGGGTCAAAGGCCAAGTTCCAGCGAATCTCCTCCATGTCCACTTCAGACACGGTTAGTGCAAAAAAATGCTTTTATTACTTAGTATTTCTGTCTTGTTTCCAGTCCAAATATCTAAAAAAAAATGTAGTGGTGGTATAATGCCCTTTTCACAAGATGTAAAATAAGTCTCTGATGTCCCCACAGTGTGTATGTGAAGTTTTAGCTCAAAATACCCCACAGATATTTTTATATAGCATGTTAAAATTGTCACTTTTTGAGGGTGAGCAAAAACACACCGTTTTGTGTGTGTCTCTTTAAATGCAAATGAGCTGCTTCTCCCGGCGCAGGCGGCGGAGCTACAACAGTTTGCACACACACACACATGCACTGAAAATTTCAAAACCTTTTTGCGTTTTATGTTCAAACCGGAGTCAGACAATGATGAAGAGACTCAAGAAGAAGTGACAACATTTCTGAATGGATAGTTGATGAATTTATAAAGCTGATGTGTAGTTATCTTCTATTGTTGTTGCTTAAAAAAAAACAAAATTATCTACCAACGATGTAAGAAAAATAGTCTTAATTCAAACAGAAACAAGATTATTTTTCTTACTCCATTGGCAGATAATTTTGCTTGTTTTAAGCAACAACTCACTTGATTTTGATTTATTTTCCCATAACAGACATAATATCTTAAGCATTTTACTCATGCATCTTGATTTAAGAATTTTTAGATATTTGCACTGGAATACAAGACAAAAATACTAAGTAAGAAAAGCATTTTTTGCAGTGTATGAGGAGACTTATGCTTACTCTTCTAGTTCAAGATGCGTCCACATTGCCATCATACAATATTATAAATACACACTTTGTAGTTATCCCGCTAAAATCTGCTTATTTATGTATATCTAGACATTTAGGTTCTTAATTGACACCTTTTCTACTAGGTCAGAGGTTAAACGTGTCAATATATCGTATATATGTGCTCTAGGTCTGGAGTGATGTAGAATTAGATCCTGTGGAGCAAAAGAGTCAGATCCTCAGAAGCTCACAATCAGCAAATCTGCTGAGAGCTGAAGGAAGGAAACCGCCAACGAAACATGGCAAGACGAAGAACAAGAGTCGAGGAGAGGAAGAGCACAGAGAGAAGAAGGTAAGGTGTGTGCTTCACAGGAGTCATTACAGTAAACAGTAGGGATGCACCGATTTGAAAGTTTTGGCCGATACCGATAACCGATAATTCTTTATATTTGAAAGCCGATAAAGCCGATAACCGATAATTCTTTATCTTTGAAAGCCGATAGCCGATAACCCATATTTCTTTATATTTGAAAGCCGATAACCGATAATTCTTTATATTTGAAAGCCAATAAAGCCGATAACCGATAATTCTTTATCTTTGAAAGCCGATAGCCGATAACCCATATTTCTTTATATTTGAAAGCCGATAACCGATAATTCTATATATTTGAAAGCCGATAAAGCCGATAACCGATAATTCTTTATATTTGGAAGCTGATAAAGCCGATAACCCATAATTCTTTATATTTGGAAGCTGATAAAGCCGATAACCCATAATTCTTTATATTTGGAAGCTGATAAAGCCGATAACCGATAATTCTTTATATTTGAAAGCCGATAACCGATAATTCTTTATATTTGAAAGCCGATAGAGCCGATAACCGATAATTCTTTGTATTTGAAAGCCGATAAAGCCGTTAACCGATATTCTATATTTTTTAAAGCCGATAACCGATAATTCTTTATCTTTGAAAGCCGATAACCGATTTTTCTTTATATTTGAAAGCCGATAAAGCCGATAACCGATAATTCTATATATTTGAAAGCCGATAAAGCCGATAACCGATAATTCTTTATATCTGAAAGCCGATAACCGATAATTCTTTATATTTGAAAGCCGATAACCGATATATCAGCTGATAAATCTGAATCCAAATTTTCGTATCATTTTTGAGAGCCTGATTACAAAAACAAAAGTCTCACCATTAAAAGCCACGACCCAAACACACAATTATAATGTTCTCTTATGTAGCCGATATGACAGACTTGCGCTGCACATGTTGCACTGAACTGTATTTTCCCTTTTTAAAAGTGATTCCAATCATATTTCAAGCAATTCAAAACCATCATGTTGAACAGTGCGCATCTGAAGTGTCTCAACTAAAGGAAATAATACATTATTTATCGGCTTTAATATATCGGCCAAATTTTCTTATCCGGCCGATAATGATGACATAAAAAATGAACATATATCGGCCGATACCGATATGGTGGCCGATATATATTGTACATCCAGTAAACAGCCATTAGTTGCGTCCCAAATGACGCAGTACACACTATGCAAGTATACACTACGTACTCAACCGTGTAGTGTATGAACTTTATAAGGTTATTTTTCAACATTGCTCCCCCTTCGCTACGTAATTAAAGCAGTCGAGTGCATGAAGTGTCCAACAAGCGTCAAACATGATTTCCGAAGGATCATGTGACACTGAAGACTAGAGTAATGATGCTGAAAAGTCAAGAATAAATTACACTTTACTATATATTCACATAGAAAACAGCTGATTTACATTACTAATATTTAACTATTTTTACTGCATTTTTTATCAAATAAATGCCGTCTTGGTGAGCAGAAGAGACTTCTCTAAAAGATTATAACATCTTAATTATTCCAAACTTTTGACCGCAAGTGTAAGTAGCTTGAAGCCACAAAAACTGAACCTCAAACGATAAAGAGTTTCTACTACTTTGGTCTATTTGCCTATAAAGTTCCCACTGTTACTCCTTATCTGATATGAACAGCAATCATTATGACTAATGTCAGCGTTGCCAAACGTTTTTACAAAATGTATTTTTAACAATTGATTTCAACAAGTTGAAACAACAATGGCATAAGATACATGACATTTTTTGTTATTAGGCGAGTTTTTGATGATCATCAGATTAATCTGTGCAGAATTTTTTATTTAATAACTTTATAGAAAAGTTTATAACTTCATAGAAAGTTATTACTAACTTTATTAGCAAAACTATTTTCTTCCGCCAGTAACTTGTAGTTTTATGCTTTAGTCGCTATACACTGTATATATATTTCTTCGATTATTTAGAGTATGTGTTACTTTAAAATTAAATGTTTAATTCAATGTGTTACTTGCCGTTTCTTTGTAATTAATTCTGCAATTTCTGAGTGCAATGTTGAAGTTGGTGTAGCTTTAACCCTCATCCTTTCCTCATCCATGTCATTTTGAATGAATACTGAAGAGAAATGACTTTAGGACCCAGCGGAACAGCTCATTTGCTCCATATAGAGGTATACATCTAAAACTCGAAAAATTAGAATATCGTGCAAAAGTTCATTTATTTCAATAATTCAACTTAAAAGGTGAAACTAATATATTATATAGACTCATTACATGCAAAGTGAGATATTTCAAGCCTTTATTTGTTATAATTTTGATGATTATGGATTACAGATATGAAAACCTTTTCACAATATTCTAATTTTGAATTTGGGGTTTTCATAAGCTGTGAACCATAATCATCAACATTTTAACAAATAAAGGCTTCAAATATCTCATTTTGCATGTAATGAGTCTATAATATATTAGTTTCACCCTTTAAGTTGAATTACTGAAATAAATGAACTTTTGCACGATATTCTAATTTTTCAAGTTTCACCTGTAAGGCCATCTAGTGGAGTCATGAAATATCTATATTTTTCCACACAAGAGGTCGGCAAACACACCCAATGTAAGATATTTTGAGCTGAATTAACAGTTATGCATGAAATTGTGAGTTATTTTGAATTTAAGTTGGAATAATGTGAGGGATGTGCTTAAATTAGTATTTATTTATTATTTATTGATCAAATCTAGTCATTTAAAGGTAAATAAAATAAAAAATAACAAAAAATCTCCCCAAAAAAATTTCATAAAAAAAAATAAAATAAAAAATTGTCAAATCTAGTCAGGTTGAAATTGATAAAATATAGTAATTTAAAGGTAAATAAAAAAATTAAAAATTCTCCCCCCAAAAAAATTGCATTAAAAAATAGAAAAAATATTGTTGAAATGAAAAAAATAAATAAAAAAGCTTTCTGGACAAAATAAATAAAGTATAATTTTAGGGCTTCTGGTTATTTTGACCCGCGAGGGAAAGATGTTTTACAAAGTGCGAGGGAAGGATGAGGGTCAAACGTTCAACGCTAAAAGCATCAAATGCATAAATGTACATGTTTTGTCGATCACAGCCTGCAGTCGCAGAGAGCGGCTCTCTGATGGATTACAGCCTTGACCTGGCGTCCGAATCCATCAACATGGCCACCGTCCCGCTTCTCATGGCCAAACACACTCCAGGAGAGGAACCAGTGAAAGAAGAGGAGTGCAACACTGTGAGCCCCCAGACAAATGGTCTGGCTTTTTACGAAGACACCGAGGAGCCACAAATCATCTTTGGCCGCGAATCAGAGGAGCAAACGTCGCCGAGCAGAGAAGACAAATTAATACTGGACCTCAAAAGCCTGAACTGCTCCAGCGAGCTCCTGGAGTCTGTGGAGAAGTTCCTCTCCTGAGGCCTGACGTGACGCTTGTGTTTCACTGAAGACGAGGCAGGACACTTGAGAACGCAGTCTTCCGCTGAACGTTTCACATCAGCCGTTTTGTTGGCAAAGCAATCGGGCCGAATTAGTTTGCGTGCAGATCATCAGCTGCTTCAACTTCACACACTTCAGCCACGGCACGGACTGTAGAATACATGAGAGTGACACTGTGTTTGCAATTTTCATTACCAAACCTACTTGCACTTTAACAAGAGCGGTATCACAATAAGACCAGGCCGGTTTCACAAAGACAGACTTTGACTACGGCTTAGATATAGTAGAGAGTCAGACTTCAGATAGACGTCTACATCAGACCGTTCCACAAAGCACTGAAGACTCTGACTATCTTAAGTAGGACTACACTGCAATGCATTCTGGGTAAAATAAGACACTTTTCAAAACAAAAAAACATGGCGGATCGAGTAAGCGCATTCACCCGCTCGGCGCAGTTTACCCCAGCGGGAGATGTGTGTGTGTTGGAGGAGTGTAACAGTTACAAGGACATTTTACTGGGAGATTTAGCGGAGAATGTAGAAACAAGAAGAAATGTGTCATTTGGACAAAGATTGCTACGACAGTTAACAGCCATAGGTTAAATTGGGGCGGAGCGCACCGGAGCGCAGCTCAGCCTCCTCGGGTCCACAACACACCCTGCCGGAGCTCAGCTCCGTCTCCTTCAGCACCAAATATATAAATTTTGTTGAGTGTATATAATGGAAGTTATGAAATAATTGGCTAATATTAACTCGAATTTGGTGCTGGAATGATTCGCCCATCGCAACGATAACTGATCTTCTCGTCTGAGCTGCTACAGCACTCACCCGCACGTCAATGTCAAAATGTTTGAGTCCAATCAAAGCAAGTGGGATTTATGTTCACAGAAGCGCGAGCCGAGCGCGAATTCCAACGTGACGCTTCACGCTTCAGTTAACGGGCACATCGTGCGAGATAAGATGCTAATCTAAACAGCTGTTTGTCGATAGAAGTTTTAAATGATCGACAGAAATACTCAGTTTGATCAAAGACAGTGGATACTATAAGCTCAATTTAACAACACAAGCACCATATTAAATATTGCCATTATTATTGTAATATATTTGTATAACGTTACCTCGAATGTGTTCGACTTTTCACTGTTTGTATCACTCCGCTTGTTCGTGTTTGCGCAACTTGCATCATTAAAGGTTCTCTAAGCGATCCTGGGTGACATCACTTCTTGTTGACGTTCGAACTATTGTCAAACAAAACGGAGGCTAGCTAGACCCTCCCTCCTCCTCATCCGCACACTAACCCCCCAAACCACACCCCCAAACCCTTCTTGTCGGTCATTGGCTGGAACAGTTTGTTATGTTTTGGGGAGCGGGTCGCTGCAGTTTGCTTTTGTTGCTGTGTGTGGAGCCTGGGGTGTCTACAGAGATCGCGTTTCTTTACAGTGTGTTCAGGGGACAGGCAGCCAGCGGATAGTGAGGAGATGTTTGCTGTATGTGACAAAAAATGTTTTGGCCTAAAAAACACATGACATCGCTTAGAGCACCTTTAAGCCAGAAGGCGGCGACCAGTGACTGTCTTTATGAGTGAGCAATTGAACCATTGATTAAATGAACAGATTAGCTAGTGCTAGTCCAAAAAATATTGATTGATTTAGGAAAGAAAAAGTAGCTGAAACTGATCTTTGATGCTCATACTAATTGCTCATATGCCTCTGGGCACAGAATGATTGCATTGGCGTTTGTTTAATAATCCTTGAATCATTTCTTATTTAAGGACATTCACGTTTCGAATATGTGATTGTGTATTGTCAACAATATGCATAAACATTCTGCATTTCCATTTTATAGTGTGGATCACTCATTGCGACATTTAAACTGATTCTCATGTTAAAGAATCTGTTATCTGATAAAATAGGCCTTCTTCATGCTGACCACTGACATGCTTTTAAAGCTACTGTTGTCCTTTTTTTTTTTTTTTTTGGTAAAATGGACATGTTGAGATCAGGAAAAGCTAAATTTTCTTGGGGGGGCATGCCCCCAAACCCCCCTAGCAAGATATTTTTTTGGGAACTTTTATTTATTAAAACCTCCGTACGGCCCTGCGTGTCGGTGTGATTAAATCAAACAACAAACTGCCAAAGAAATTGGCCCTGATTCTTTTAAATCAACATTTTTTTTTTTTATATATATATATTTTTTTTTTATATTTGCCAACCAATATTTTCAAACATGTTCAATTTCATACATTTCCTGAGGGTGAAATCCGTTGCTGTCTGTTAACATTAAAGGACAAAAAAAATAATTTATTTATCGTTGTTTAAATACGTACTCAACCCTACCTTACACATTAATACTTGAAAAAGAGCCTCTTTGGTGTAAAAACACATTAAGTCATTTTACGGCCCGATTTTGAATGATGACCATTCACCGTAAATAAGGCATTATTAAGCGTTACAGACGCACAGAGAAGATACAAAAACAGTACAAGATGCCAAAAAATAAATATTTAAGAGGAAATATCAGAGACTATTTTTATAGAGACATGCCACTTCCTCAATCCTTAATACAACTATAGGAAAACCATAGATGTATTTATTATGTCTATGGGGAAAACCCGTAACGCCAAAGATGGCGGTTGTATGCACATGCCCCGCCCCTCCCGCTGGAAAGCCAATTGTCTGCTTTTCAGTCATGCCGGGAAACATTTAAGCCTATCGTCTGGTTCCACTGACGCATGCGCACAGTTGAGGTTTGCGACAGCGCAAAATACGTTTGAAAAGGCGGCAGATTTGATATGCAGTGTATGTGTGAGTTGTGTAATATCAGACATCAGAAGTCTCCCGCAGATTGATAGCGGCTCCCCGATGGCCGCAAATTAGTTCAAATCTCCCGGGATCTAGAGCGAGCGAGCAAGAGCGCGCACATACTGTGCTTCAAACTGTGTAGCGCGCGCGACAGAGGGAGAGAACCCTTGCGCATGCGTAGTAAACGTATAACCTGTGGGGAAAAAGGCGTTTTAAACCTTATTTTGGGGCAAAGTCATCAAACTTTTTCAGCGATTTTTATCATATTTTACTGCTGTTTCTATACATGCCGTTTTTATGTCCCGGTGACCAGTGAAAGTGCAGTTCTGACTCTCTGCCCATTCATTTAGATAGGAGCCTGGTCTTGTTAGTCCGAAATAGCTGCTGGCATGACTTGCCTAAAAGGACTTTGGAAATATCCAAAAACGCGTGGAGGACCCCAAGAGAAACTTAGACACTGAAATGGAGATGAATATATATATATATGGTGAGGGCAATTTCCCCTTTTCTTTCGGCTGTTTGTAATGTAACTGATTGTTATGGCTGGTTGCCAAGGTAAGGTCTAAGACTAAGTCAGTCTTTATTTTTGTGAAACAGTCTAACTTGCATTAGACTAGTCTATGAGCACATTTGAGACTTGTCTAACACTATAGACCGCTCTAAAATAGCTTTGTGAAACCGGCACCTGAATTCATTTCATTAAAGCAGTTTCAGGTTCAATACAAGTTCAGCTCTATTGACGCATTCGTGACTGTCGAAAATCATAGTTATTGTACGAGAAATATGAAAACACTGAATCATTGGATAAAAACCCTATTTATTATCTGAGCTGCGCGTTTCTGCTCGTCATGCTTCACCAAAGTATTTCCTGTGAGTTCCTGTAAAGTCTCTTTCTGATATCTTTGCAAATGTTCCCATGTTTTTTTTTACATTTTGTGGTCATGACACTTAAGTTGTATAATTAATTTACACCGACAATGTTCATAATGTAAGTGATTTCATCATGCAAATATGTAAAATGTCAAGTCGAGACATTTATATATGGCGTTTTATGCAACTGTTTTTTTTTTTTTCAAAGCAGCTTCACAGAAATAGACAGGAAAATAATGGTGTTTCAAAAATAATTGACTATTTAAATGATGTGAAATGACTTGAATTATCTGTTGTAAAGCAACTACAGAAGACTTTAGTGTCATTATTCAGTTCAATGCAGATTCAATAATGGTGTCATTGTTGCGGTTCATCAATTACGAAACAAATTCTCCAATGTTAATTCAGTTGTGTTGTGGATATGCTTTTGAAATAGTCTGTATTTTAATGTTCAATGTCTGGCCCCATGTATCGCTCTTGTAAGTGCTTTACTGTAACCACAAATTTAATCTTTGAGTCAAGTTTTTTTCAGTGTTAATGGTAGCGATATTAACATTTCGGTGCATTCTTTATACTTGAAAGCCGATAACCGATATATCGGCCGATAAATCTAAATCCAAATTTTTATATATTTTTTAAGAGCCTGATCACAAAAACAAAAGTCTCACCATTAAAAGTCACAAGTTCCTCCCAGTACTGTAAACATAGTCAGATATGAGCAACCAGGGGAAGCATCTCTCCATCTCTCTATTGTTTTCTATCTTTTCATTGTACACTTCTCCTGGCTGTATGTCCTCCCAGTCGTCACATAATGAAAACATTTCACCTAAACCTGTGGCACCTAGTTGTGTGTCCTTGAAATCCTATTTTTGTAAAAAGATATGCTAGAATAGATCATGTGAGTGGTCTGTGAGAAAAGATACATGTACTTGTAAGATATGTGAATATAACGAGAAAGAGTGGCCTAAATCTTCATCACGATCCAAATTCACGTTTACATTTATGCAACATAATGCTCATATATTATGTTTGTTAGACTCTTGATTTGTGCCAATCAAATGTTATCCAATGAAAGTCCACAGGGAACAGGCCAAGTGTTGTGTATATTCCCTAATGTTCGATGTTATCATTATTATAATTGTGAGGTTGAAAATGCAACAGAGCTTTATTTATCCATGTACAGTGTAACATTACTTTGGACTGACTGAGATTAAATTAATAGTGAACAAAATCCCTCATGATTGTTTTACGGCTGCTAAACCAGCTTAATTTCCAGGATTATTCCTCATTCATCGGGATCTTGGAGGATTTGTTTCCTTAAGCTTTAAAGGGGCTCAGGTATGTAGAAGTCAAACATTTATATAAACTTATGTTAAGAAAAGCGCTCGTCTATGGGGGTCGTATTGGCGTATGATGTGTGGTTTGAAGGCTCGTTTAGTATCCAGATTTGGGGTCAGATGTTCAAGAAGAGAAAAAAGGCCACCACTCTTATAATTATGTCTAAAAAGTAAAGATACAGTGAAATACACCCATGCTAAAGTTGACTAAAAAGAGGAATAAAAAATCTTTTGGAAATTGATCTTAATTCCTTAATTTAAAAAAATGAGGAAAAATCCAACCTTTAAGGACACCAATTTTCTTTGTGAATGAATAATGTATCGTAAATAAATAAATGTTCTTCCTTAAAATACAGTAAAGTTCCCTTGGCCTTTGGGATTAAAATATCCTTTCTTATACTGTCTATGAAAATATCCCCACATCATCACACACCCTTCACCACACCTAGAGTTGGCGTGGTTTTATTTCAGTTAGCCTAATAGCTGCTTTGATTTGCATTGAGAGATGATTTTATGGAAAGTTCCCAATCAAACCATTCTTTACGTGTTATCATCCGAGACGTCAAATCAACCTGTCGTGTCAGTTTCATCAATAAATCTAGATCAATGAACAACATCATTGATTAAACGTCAGCCTTAATTTACCTGTCTGTCTCCAACCATTTACTCACATTTGATCACAGTTGCACAAATAGAGGTTTACACAACACAATAATCCCGATGGATCTGAGGCGAAAATGATCTCATGAATATTAATTAAGTAACCGACAATCGGCCAGTAGCCCTCCCTGATTGGCTGAACCTAAAACGCTGGTCTTGTTGACTCATGAATATTAATTAGTAACCGAGAATCGGCCAGTAGCCCTCCCTGATTGGCTGAAACTAAAACGCTGGTCTCCTTGATTCATGAATAATAATTTTTTTTGGCGCTTCTGCAAATCTGAAGGAAATCTCCCTTTTAGAAACATTGAGACATTTTTTGTAAGAGCAGTGTTGTTTGTGGGAATGTTTCAGCCAGGGGCGTCATGCAAGCCAAAATTCTGGGGGGGCACAATCTGAGACGTTGCAATTGTTTTCTGACGGGTGATATGGATCATGTTTCTCCCCCTGACATTTTTTTAATTCTGGCTGCGAAACATACTATTTCAATGCAGTTTGGGAGGGACAGAAATACCTTAACGGAGCTAGCAGCAACCCTCCTCTATCTGAGGACTAAGTTAAAGTATATGTGCATCTTATATGTGCATTATAAGATGTTTTGAAGGCCAAAAAAACTCCTAAAGTTGAGCTTTGACTGATAGGCTTTTCATTTTTGTCTGTCAGTGAAGAAAGTAAACATAGGGTCAACTGATAGGTTGATTTATGAATCATTTTCTCAGACGAATTTATTTACTGAAAGCTACTAGGAAAGCTAGGTAGCCTAACTAAGTTATTAAATTCATTCACAGTACACATTCATTATTGATCTTATGCCTAATACAGGGCCGTAGACAGGGCTTTATAATCACAGAGGTCCTAAATTTGAGGTGGGTAGGGGGTTCAAATTTTTTATTTCTCTGATATGTGCATTTCAAGACGTTTGAAGGCCAAAAAAAGGATAAGAAATAGCTTTAAAACCATGTCAGTGGGCAGATTATTTGTCAATACCTGCTCTCACTTCTTATCCATCACTCTTTCTTTTTCTCTCAGTCTCCTGATCTTGCCTTCCCCTCCTAAAGCTGAGCTTTTTTAATTTACTTAAGGCTACAAATTGTACTATATTAATTCTCAATATGTACACATTCATTATTAATCTTGTGCCTAACAATGAAAACGTCTTTTCCCCTCACAATGACAGTAAACTATTAGCCTACATTACGAGTCACGTTACATAGGCCTATTTTCAGTTCAAAATGGCGAAATTAGACAAAAGTATATTCGTGTGCCTGATTATTTTTGTCATTCGTTTAACATTTATGAACTAAAAAAAACTCAAATATGAAATGTTTAGTTTAGCTACTTACATCTCGCACTTGACTGTACACTGAGGCGTCGAGTCTCACTGCTAAAATTCGCGCTCAGCTTCTGTGAACATAAAGCCCGCCTACTTTGATTTGATTCGTCATCTCAAATATTCTGACATTGACGAGCAGTGACAGACCAATGAGGCTCAGATGAACACGCACGCACACACACACACACACACCATGTCCTCTGTTTCTGACGTGCGCTCTGCTCGGCACCGCTGCGGATTGAAGATGAACAACGCGCTGAATCTGATTATAACAAGACTGAAGAAATAAAAAATTATCAGGGAGGAAAAATCTGAGGGGGCACGTGCCCCCTCACTTTGAATGGGCATGACGCCACTGGTTTCAGCCAATAGATGGCAGTATTTGTCCACACTATTACTCTGAGTGAAGTCAAGTCAATCTGAAACATGGAAAACATATCTCATCTGATCACTGTAAGACAGTTTTATAACACACAATAGTGATTGATGTCTAATGCTTTTGTTATGAAACAAGTCAACACTTGTTGGCATCAACTAGGAGGGATTTACCGGTATTCCTGGCATGTACATTAACTCTTTGTTCTTAGAAAAAATCACATCAGACATTATTACTAAATTATAGTTTTTCCTCTCACATTCCTCTCATTATGGCATTTCACCATTCATTTATATTACTTTGCATTTCTATGTTTTCGGTCTCAAGTGAATGAAGGGCTGAATGAATTTATCCCAACTCACGCATGCATATAAAAGGAGAGAAGAAAGAGGCAGAATATTGGCTACATATAATTGACAAATAAGGTAAGATGCATAATGAGGATAAAGCTAAACAAAGAAAATGGAGATAGAAAATAATAAAATAATGATAACTATATCTATTCCCCATATGTGCTGTCAGTGTCTTTTTGTATTAATTTTTTTATTGATTTTAAAGAATTACAACTCAGGGGGGTACATTAAGTAAACAAATAATCACACACACACACAAAAAAAGAAAAATATATAAAGATACAGTGACAAACTTAAAAGTTAAACAAAAATGTGAAAATGTTTACAGACTGAAACACACTTTGCAATATTGTGTTTAGGTATTGTTGAATTTCTGATCTTAAAATTAAAAACAAAGGCGTGTTTCCTCCAAATTTACATTAATGAATACTAAATTTAGCTAAAAGAAGAAGCAGATAATGAAGTAATATTCCGTTATGATAAGATTTGTCATAAGAGGGGGAAAAACAACACATTTTTTAAGCACAGTTGAAAGCTGATAATAAAGGAACAGAGATCTGACCAAACACAAACTGAACGAGGACAACTCCAAATTAAATGATAAACTGTTTCTTCATGGCGACTACGAAATGTACACAAATGAATCAATGTGCTGTCAGTCTCTCGGCCTGTCAATCATCGCGCCGGTGACGTCAGAGCGCCAGAGCGTCATAATTTCCTCCAGCGTGTGTTAAAGGGGCGGAAGTTAGTGAGACAGTTTCTGGAGTTTCTAAACTCGTTTTCTTTCTCTTCCTCACACACAGTTTGACTCCACATCGGCTTCACAGCACACCACAGGTGAGTGACATGAACACGCGTGTCATTGCGCTTTAAAACACATGCGACTTTACGTCAACGCGGCGCGAGAGGAGACGCGAATGAAGTTTACAATGTAACGATTCGCGTGGGAAAACACCCCTTAATCCGATTCTTTTTAAAGTTCTTATTAATTTCAGATATTATGTTGAGGATTTATGTTGTGAATATATTAATAAGCAAAAAACAATGTGTATGTATTCAGGTAATGTTTACCCGTGGTTTACCGTTAACTTTGAATGAATTTAGTCGGTTATTTATTTATTTTTTGGCGCCGTGTCAGTTTTGAAAAGTAAAGCGGTTTGTGATTGACTCAACGAGGAAGTGGTTTTGTTCTCCATAAAGGTGTGTCAATATATCTCTAAATAAGTAGATTTACCGTTATATCAGCACTGGATGTAGGCTACTCTATAAGTTAACGTTACATATATTGTGTGTGTAGAGAGATTTGATTACAATATCTGTCATTACATGGGGCGTCATGTTGTCCTTGTGAGTGACTGTTTTAAATCAGAAACAAAACAGGGAAAAGTTAATACGTAACGTGAAAAGAGTGTAAAATGTGTGTGAACTTGTTTATTTGTGCTTCACTTTGGCAGTTAAAGTCCTCATGATGGTAATTTGAGGTCATTTTGATGTAGTTCTGCTCTAAACTGAGGTTGCATGCGGAATAACAGACATTTAAGGTATGAGAATGACATTAAGTGGATAATAATGATGTTAGCTAGTTTAAATGCACTTATTAACAGTAATGTTGTGTATTTTTGGTGCTTCCAGGTGACTAACCGCTCAGTGACCTTAAGCAGCTTGTGTTAAAAGTGAGTTGTTGCTTGCACGTACTATATTTTGTTATGAAATTGTCCCCAGAAGTGAGATAAACATGATTAAATCTGCTTTAGGGACGTCTGGGGAAGTGCTCGATCAGAAATAGGATATTTCCCAGTAGAAACACACTGCCAGTGTCAACTCTCCCCACCTTAAACTGGCCCATAATGCAATAGTCAGGATTGAGACGTGATCCAGCACGCCTGAACTGAACCCGGGCCAGGTGCGGCTCTGTGTCTCCAGTCTGTAGGCTCAATAACTTCAGCATTTGGGATTCTTTAATAATAAGTTGGTTATAGTCTAGTAAAACACTAGGACGTTTTGTCCCAGGTGCATTCCTGTTACATAAGAGAACCAATGAAACTCTCCATAAAGGATAATCATTAGTTGGTCAGCGTCACAAAAGCACACCTGTGTTTTACAGGGAAGCTTCGAATGCTTTCGCAGGTGACTAACCAAATGGAGAATGTTTGGTCGTTTGTTTCTAGGTTCAGAACTCAGTGGCCAAGCATTAAACTGTCAAGCACTGAAAGTCCAGCCATGTTAGAGCCTGTTTCTTTATGCGTTGCTGTAATAAATCCCTAAATTACCACCTATGAATCGGTAGCTCAACCCTGTCTACACATGCAGTGATTTAACGGCTGTCGTTTGCGTGTTATTTTAGTGCTTGGATGGATGTAGAATTAGGTAATTCCTCAGTTAAATGGAACTTTCCATAAACTAGAAAGTTCTGCTGTTTTTGGCCAAAATGATGTTTGGCTTTGATCTTAAGCTAATATTCACTCTTAAAAATAAATGTTCTTTATTGGCAGCATCTATGAAGAACCTTTAACGTCGTCATCAATATAACCTTTCCAAGGTTGTTTAGATTTACTTTTAGGAGAACTTTTCACTTAAAGGTTATTTTGGGAAACCTTATGATTCTTCTATGACATCACTTTTTTAAGAGTGTTAGGAGAGTCAGAAATTTACAGTTACTTTATTTCACTAAATAAAATGTTTTGCAATGTTTTTATTGGCTGGCTGGAGGCAGAGGCTTTGGCATCACGTCGCTTGGCGCCGTTCGCACTATAAGAAAACCAACCGTGACTGACAGATCAGTGGAAAGCCGTCTTGGTGCTCACGCTGTTTTGGTGACGGACATATTAAGTCGTCCATTTCAGAGGCATTCAGGGACATATGTGTTGTCTTAACCATAAGTTGAGAAACCTTTTTATATTCAGTTACCTCTTTTGAAGGAGTTTTTAACAAAGTTAACCCAAATATAGTTTTGGTAACACCTGATATAGTTTTCCCATGGATTTTTCTTGCCATGAAAATAGTCACAGACGCTGGCATGGCGTTAAAAACAAACAAACAAACCTTAAATTGTTTTGTATTTGACTGGTTTGAGCACATATTAGTAACCAACTGCTAATATTATGGACTTAATATCCAACGGAAATGGTTTGATTGACGTATTTCCTCTTGAAACCGGAAGCTGGAGTGGGACATATCAGAAGGATTTTTAAAAACAATGTGTCCCATTCACCAATAATTGCGTGGATTATTTCGTATTTGTTTGCACAGGAGAACTTCTAACAAAAAGTTTCACAAAATCGTGCGTACGCACATTAATTTGTTCTTAACCTCATGCGAAGGTTAATGATTTTGGAGGATTCTAGATGAGTAATTTGCATAAAACACACCCAAACATCTCCTTTTAATGGCATAACGTAGCTTGTCTTACTCTTCCGTTGTATATGATTAAGATTATTTTTTATATTTAATATTAAATGTAAGTCCACCCAGTGTACGTGTGGTGTTTTTTGCAAATTTTAAATGCATTTTACGACAATGTTAAATGACAATGTTATTGTCGCAGCATAGCAAGTCCATCATTAATTAAAGAGATCTTCACTCTAAATAGCATTTTATTGGAGAAAAAAAGTATATACACACCCTGTGGACAAGTTGAGTGACTATCTATCTGAGTTTTTTTTTTGTTTGGCTGGAAGTGTATGATTTGTAAACTTTAAATCTGGTTAAAGTTGGTCAGTTTTTGTCAGCATATTTGCATATGCTCTCAACGTTAATAGGCAATAGGCATGGGCTAAAGTTTCAAAAGTTGAAGAAGCTACACTTATGTTATTCTAACTGTCTGAATCATAATACTTTTGTTGATCTAGATTAGAGAAGATGAGTAAATGTACCCGTTATAAAGCCTGTGTGACAAACACACACAGCCCTTAGTGGCTTCAGGCATGGAAAATCGTTTCATTCTCTCTTTTCAGGATGTTCTCAATACATGTTGTTCTTCATAACCACACCCTTAGTGCTTTCAGAGGAGCGTTGCATCAGCGTCACTGACTCACACAATAGTCACACAGATAAAGTGATGCACACTCATCTTTGAGCAACTAATGAGGTTCTCCTTTCCATGCAACTGTTATTCAGTCATTAAACAGATGGTCGGGAGTGCTAATGTTGGCATTATGTGGTGCATGTTGAGCTACTTCACCTGTTTAGCACCATCATGGCTTTGTTGTAGGGATGCACGATATATATCGGCCACCATATCGGTATCGGCCGATATATGTTCATTTTTAATGTTATCGGCCCGATAAGAAAATGTGGCCGATATATTGAAGCCGATAAATAGTGGATTTTTTCCTTCAGCTGAGACACTTCAGATGTGCACTGTTCAACATGATGGTTTTGAATTGCTTGAAATATTTGAGGTGGTGATGGCGCAGTGGATAAGACACATGCCTTTGGAGTGAGAGACCCAGGTTTGAATCCAGTCAATCCACTGTGAGACACCAATGTGTCCCTGAGCAATACACTTAACGCTAGTTACGCATGTAACTGTGGTTCTGTGAATTCTGGATGACCGCCAGAGGCAGTGTAAACACTATGGATTATCGCAGCGCCAGCTAGATAGGTCGAGAGAATATACCAACAAAGTCACGTGGCGTGACGTATGCTGAGCCCTGGAGGGTAAAGCTACAGTAGCTCAGCACTCTACCTCGGTACGCCTTTCTCGCGCATTCCGAGTGACAGAGAACTCTGGCGGTCATCCAGAATTCACAGAACCACAGTTACATGCGTAACTAGCGTTCTGTTTCATTCTTACTGACCGCCAGAGGCAGTGTAAACACTATGGATGACACATACCAACATAGTCATGAGGAATGCCACCCACCTGATGAAATTAAGGCTGTTCCAGAAGAACCGCAGAACTAACGGCATGATGAGCAGCAACGTTGACCTTATAAAACCGGGCAAACGTGCATGGAGAAGCCCAGGTAGCAGCAGTGCAGATATCCACCAGGGAAACTCCTCTAAAAACAGCCCATGAAGATGAAATGGCCCTAGTGGAATGGCAAGTTAGTCTCCAGGGCAGTGGTCTCCCTGCCGCCTTGTAAGCCAGCGTAATGGTCTCCACTATCCAGTTCGACAACCTCTGTTTCGACACTGGAGCACCTTTCTTCACACCACCATGGCAGACAAATAACTGGTCTGACCGTCTAAATTGAACAGTAGAGTTCACATAACACTTCAAGGCCCGAACAGGACACAAGAGTTGGGCACTTGAATCGGACCCTGAAGAAGTCTGAAAGGAGGCCAGTTCAATATGCTGATTTATGAACTGAGGAAGAAGGACCTTTGGAAGAAAAGAAGGATTGGGTCGTAGAACCACCCCGGAGCCATCCGGTAACCAACGCAAGCACAGTTCACTAACAGACAACGCGTGCAACTCACTGACTCGTTTCGCAGTAGCAATAGCTAACAAAAAAGAAGTCTTCAAGGACAACCATTTAATGTCAACATTTTGCAAGGGCTCAAACTGGGGTGAGCACAGGAATGCAAGTACGAGTGACAAATCCCACACAGGAAAATGAGGATTCCGAGCAGGGTTCAGACGGCGTGCGCCCTTCAGAAAACTGCAGACAAGACGGTGAGAGCCAAGAGAAGAGCCACCAACTGGAACATGATATGCAGAAATTGCAGCAACGTACACTTTCAACGTGGAAGCTGCTTTTCCTTCCTCCAGTAAACGTTGAAGAAAACTTAAGACACGCGGAATGTCGCATGTTGCAGGATCGAGCCCCCGTTCCTTACACCATGCAGAAAAAAGCTTCCAACGGGAAGCATAAATCTGTCGTGTGGAAGAA